GCGTGATCCACGGTGCCCAGTGGAGGAAAACTGTATCTATAAGCCCTACCAGGCTTCTCTGCACTTCTCACTAGTCAGTGTTGGATGATATGCCTATGTCTAAAGCAATTATTAGGAGAGAGAATAGAATTACTATGATGAGTTTAGCCTATTTAACATTTACTCTCCTTCTGGGGCTGGGGAGAATCCATATGTTTTACACACATGGAGGGTAAATTATCAAAATCGGTGTTTTACTAGTAAGGAAGAAAGAGAATGTCTTTGAGTGGGTAACAAACAGAGTTTGCTACCTTTGTTTATCATTGTCTTTTGTAACACACACTTTGTTTTTGGTTTCAGTTTACTCTTTGGTGGAAGACATTCTCTAAAAGTAATTTCAGGATGGACAGCAATCTGAACTCTTACATATTTGAAAGTGTGTGTCATTATTTTGTATCCTCTCTTAAGTGTTAATTTAGTTTTGCAGTCTAGGTTAAAAGCAATTCCCTTAGAGGCCAGGCGTGATGTCTTGCATCTGTAATTCCAACATTTTGGGAAGCCGAGGTGGGATCCCAGGAGTGTGAGACCAGTCTAGGAAACTTAGTGAGACTCCACCTCTGAAAAAAACAAACAAACAAACAAAAATTAGCCAGGCATGGCAGCACACACTTGTAGTCCCAGCTCAGTTATTGGGTGGTGGGGTTAAGGTAGTTAAGGTGGGAGGATTGCTTGAACTCATTGAGGTCCTGCAATGAGCCAGCCACGCACTGCAGCCTGGGTGACAGAGAGACTCTGTCTCAAAAACAAAACAAAACAAGACAAAACACCATTACAATGATTTCCTTAGACTACTGTTCCATTGTCTATTAGCATCCATTGTTGCTGATGAGAAGATAATCCAGTTAAGATTTTCTTTTTATCCTTCATGCTCTGAAATCCTACTATGAGGTGTTTAAGTGTGTTATTTTTTACCTATGCCATTTGGCTCAGAAGTAAATAAGAGCTTTTTACTCAAAGATACTGGAATTTTTTTTTTTTTTTTTTTTTGAGACGGAGTTTCGCTCTTATTGCCCAGGCTGGAGTGCAATGGCACGATCTCGGCTCACTACAACCTCCAGCTCCTGGGTTCAAGCGATTCTTCTGCCTCAACATCCCTAGTAGCTGGGATTACAGGCATGTGCCACCACGCCCAGCTAATTTAGTATTTTTAGTAGAGACGGGATCAGGCTGGTCTTGAACTCCCTACCTCAGGTGATCCACCCATCTTGGCCTCCCAAAGTGCTGGGATTACAGGCGTGAGTCACCACTCCTGGTCAAGATAATGGAATATTTTCAATCATTTTTTGAGTATTTCCTTCCATCCATTCACTAGATCCCCTATCAGATGAATATTGGACTTTCTGGATTTATTCTTCATGTTACTTAAATTACTTAAATACCTAAACTAGGTAATTAAAAAAAAAACAGAAACAGAATTGCTCACAGTTCTGAGGCCGGAAAGTCCAAGATCAAGATAATTAGCAGATTTGAAGTCTGCTGAGGGCTCCTTTCTCATAGATGGCCCCTTCTATGCATCCTCACGTGGTAGAAGGGCGAACAGGCTCCCTCAAGCTTCTTTTACTCAGGGCACTAATCCAATTCATGAAGGATCTGCCTTCATGATCTAATCACCTCTTAAAAGCGCCACCTGTTAATACTATCACTATGAGGGTTAGGTTTCAGCATCTAAATTTTGGGAGAACACAAACATTCAGATAGAGTAACTGCTTAGAAGAATATATGCAGCATAGTATTACTTATTATTCAAATTTTCTATCCATTGTTTTAAAGACAGAGTCTCCCTCTGTCACCCAGGCTGGAGTGCAATGGCTTATCTTGGCTTGCTGCAGCCTCAACCTCCCAGACTCAAGCATTCCTTCCACCTCAGCCACCCTAGTAGCTGGGATTACAGGCGTGTACCACTATGCGCACCTAATTTTTGTGTTTTTTGTAGAGATGGGGTTCTACCAAGTTGCCCAGGCTGGTCTTGAACTCCTGGACTCAAACTATCCTCCCACCCTGGCCTCCCAAAGTGTTGGGTTCATGGGTGTGAGCCACCGTGCCTGGCAGAAATCTTTAGCAAAAAAATTAGGTATCATTGTTGGAGCCTCCTTTTCCTCTTCCTCTTTTCTCATTATCCTGAAGCTAATCAGTATCCTTACTGCCTGTATCCATGCTTTATATAGTTTACTACATATTTATATATATGTAAACAGCATATTGTATTATTCGGCAGGTTTTCAAACTGCACATAAACGGTACAAATTCTCTTAATCCTTCAGATTACACCAAGAAAATAACCTCAAGTCTTGAATGTTTTTCCTGGTATTTGCTATTCTCGCTTTTAACAAACTAAGAGTAGGCCTTAGGCTAGAAGCCCAGAGCAGGAATTGATGGCTAGCTAGAATTTAGTAATACTTCTTTATTTTCCATTATATTTATTTTAATGGTTTCCTCCCCCCCTTTTTTTTCAAAGCAAGTGTTGCCGGCTTTCCATTTAGAGTAGTGATTTATGTTTTATTTTATATTAAATGTAAGAAAAAAAGTGTTTATTTAAAGAAAAATGTTAAGTGGCAATAATACAGGCAATACAGAGACATAGCAAAAAATTAGGGAATTTATACTGTAATAGCTGAAATTTGATACACACTTGGCCGAAAGGAAAAAGTTCAAGTTTCTCCTTCTCACCTTCCTTTACCAGTTGGAGGTCCCTTTGATACTGCAATCTCTCCTTTTATGGTATTTCCTGCAGCCCGCACCCCTGCCTTCCGCTGGCTGTCTCATCAACTTCTCTGGCTCTTAGGAAGCCCTCCTCCATTTAGCACCTGTCATCATACTGCATGTATAACTTTCTCATCTAAAACTAACCTAAATCTTAATGCCAACATGGCACCCTCATGGCCTGAACAGCTCACTAATGTCAAAAAAGTTGATCTGTTTTTGATGTTTCAAATATAATCATGAGTATACAATGAAGGCTTTCCATGGAAAAAATATTTAACTCATATTTCCTTATGTTTGCAGTTAAAAAAAAGTTGTTTATAGATCTTAATACTTGATCTTAAATTATCTTCCTTTCAACCCTGAGACAATACATTAACCTGTTGTCTAGATGAATGGTAAACAAACAGGGACACAGAACAGAAAAACAAAGAAGATGATGGGAAATAATGTTGTTTTTTTTCTTTTTTTTTACTTCATTTCGACGTGGTGGTTTACTGCACGTTACTTACTATGTCGAACCGGGTGATTTTACTAAAATATGAGTTTAGTAATTTAGTATAACACGTTCAAATGTTTAACACACAACGTTTGAAGGCAAAAGCTACCAAACCGTTGTGGCCCTTGAGATGCTAGAACAATTTTCAAGTTTCATGGTGCATGACCCACAATGCATATGAATATATACAATATCAGTAACAAAAACAGTACAATGTACACCAGATGCTGTTTCAAAGTCCTCTAATGTTTGCAGTCGTGATAAACTAACTGCATTGGCTTTCATTCATTCGTTCATAAGCCTTATTTTGAAGCTGATCTTCACACTGCATGATTAAGAAACCATCAGTGCACTGGTCAGAAGTACATTCTGCTGTTAACAGAGGAGCAAAGAATGCTTTCAAAGCTACTGCTGTATTTGGAAAAAAGTTCAGTTTTAGTGTTTTCTTTGTATGTATTTTGCGTGGCTAAGGCGGGAGAAGAAGGGCTGCGCGGGGATTGGGGGAAGCGACTTCGCACTCTTCATTACAGAAAAAGGATCATGTATACCACTGTAAAACATCCAACCTTTAAATGAGAAAGTGGGTGAAGTGAAATCGCTCTCACGTACACATATTCCGCGTTACTTCTTATCCGCCAGCCAAACTTTCTCCATCAATCTGGGTAGGTCTGACACGAAAATGCAGCCTGAAAGAAATGCTGAGTCCTGAGGCGGCGTGTGTTGCCTCACCCAGTGCTGGCTTTGGAGTTACCTGAAGCCTTCTAGCTACTGCACCCAAAGAACAAGCTTCTCGGTTCAACTCGGTTGTTTCCGTGGGGAATTGCGGCACGAGCAGGTACTGGGTGTGGCGATGCCAAGAGAGCGCTCAGATCTCCCATCTTTCCCGCTTCTGGCAAACCTTCCCGGTCCCGAATCGGCGAGTGACCAGCACCCGGGACCCGCCGTCCGGCATTCCGGGGACCGCGGTTGGACCCGACCCCGCCGCAGCTGCAAACTGCCGAAGCGCCCAGCTGAGTGCACTGTGCGTGTGCGCTTCTCCCCCACTCTTTCCGCGCCTGGAGGCGGATCCCCTTCCTTGCACACAAGTCCTTATATGCACCGATTGCACCAGCCCGCTTTACTCCGGCCCCACAAATAATTAACAGGGGAGGGAGGGTGTCGCTTTTTTTTCCTCCGGCTTTTTCTCAGCGGGAGAGCATTTGAACCGAGGAGAAACCCCAAGATGAGACTGAAGGGCCATTTTGCTGCAGTGCACGAATTGGCCACACAAAAATACAGCTTGGGTCCCTATGATAAGCAAGTCAAGGTTCAGGAACAGCCCTTCGGATTTGGCCCCAGGAGCCCTCAAAAGCCTGGGCGGAAAGGGTGCGCGCCCCTCCCCCCTCCACGCTGGCGGGGAGGGACCGGGTCAGGAAGCGCGGCCTCTCCCCAGTCCAAGACCACGCCTCCTCCGCCTCCCCCCACCCCCTTCACTCCTCCCAGGAAGCGGTGATAGACAGTTCTGTGTGGTTCTCCACCCCCACCCTCCCCCCGCTGAGTGGAGGAGTTGATGTGTCTCATTATAACAGCCAATGCAGCCGCCATCCACGCACAAGCAAAGAAGCATGTCCCATTTAAATACACCCACGCAGCCCCAGCGCCCTTAGCCGATCGGGGCGCTCAGCCCACACGCACCGCTGCTCCGGGCTTGGAGATCCGCGCAGGTTGGGCTCCCGGACCCGGCGGACCGACGCGCGGAGGATCGGGATCCGGCGCTGTGGGGCTGGGGTGGGCGGGGGAGGCTGGGCCCGGGGCCTCTGGCGCGATACCCGCATGAGGACGCGAGTGAAATAGACCAAGGTGGAATTTCCAAGGGAAAAGCTTGGGGGTGGTTTTGGTCCATTTCTCCAGCGAAGAAGTAGACATGGCGAGCGACTCCCCGGCTCGAAGCCTGGATGAAATAGATCTCTCGGCTCTGAGGGTGAGCAGGACATGTTTTCTGGTTTCTTTCCAGTGGTTTGGGTCAGGGTGAATGGGCTCGGTGCGTGGACTGGGGGCTGGGGCTGGGGCTGGGGGACAGCAGCGGGAGAATGCGTCGGGGAGGGAACCTGGATTCCCGTTTTGATTCGGGGTTGCTGAGGTGCTCCCGGCTGAGCCCCTACGGCAGGGGCTGTGCGGTACGTGTCTTCCTTTGGCCGTGGCCGAGGCTCTCCCGAGGGCTCGTGGAGCTCGTGGAGCTTATGCTTTCATCTTATACCGGTGTAAGAGCAGTAAAATGAAAGGTGTGTGTGTGTGTTGGTGTGTACGTGTGTACACGCCCCGGGCAGTTGTCTGGTGCCAAGGAGCGAGACCCAACTGTCCCTTCTGCAAAAAGAATGCCAGCGTGAATAAAGGCACTGGCTCCTCACGTTTTCCAGCTACCTGCAAGATGACATTGTGAGGCTGACTGTCCCCGCGAAGCCGAACCTGCCGCTCCAAGGGGGCAGTTATTGCTATGCTGGTCTTGTAGATGGCAACTGTCTCCCCCTCCCCCTTTTCTGCCTCCCGCACCCGGGCGCCCTCTCAGCGCTCCCTTAAATGCCAGTCTGCCACTCACCTTTATTTATGGCTTTAACTCAGCCCTGCCTGTGCTTTCTGACTTTGTGGCTGTAACGTTTCAGTTTTATGGCTGAACTTAAGCAGGTGAAAGGGATGTGTTTTCTGCTTTTCCTCAATCAGACCGGAACTCCCTGGAGTGTGTGCGAGTGTGTGTGTGTGTGTATGTGTGTTTTCCCCGTGTCTGTGGCCGGTCCTTTGTAGAGCACCTCCCTCCCCCCAGCCCCACTGGTTTGCGTTTACCTTCACGTGAATTACCTCAGACGCCGTTTCATTGTATTGACTAAGACATCACTGATACAGAATCCATTTTGCTGTTGTTTTGAGATCAGAATACCAGGAATCCCAGTGCTGCCTTGACGCTTCCCCACCCCCAACTCCCGATCCCAACACACTCCTTCGGGGAAGGGGGCAGAGCTTTCTTGTCATTTTAATTAGATGCTGCCTGCTGGGAAGGGGTGAGGGGTGGGGATGGTGGCAGCAGCGGGTGTCTGAGAAGGATTGGACACCAATTTAAGGACTGCTTCTTCCTCTCCCGAACCAAAAATAAAATTTAAAAAATAGCGAGTGCATGTACTTGATGTATGGAGGGTGGATGAGAAGGAATTGATGGTGGCTTTCTACAGGGAGACACCAGGATGGATGAAGTATGGAAGTTCACACGCCCTCCTGAGGAATACATTGTTAGGTTGATGCTGAATCTTGGGGCCATTTACCTGGATTCCTAGTACTTCTGACATTGCCTCTTTCTGTACTGTTATATTAAAGTGCTACCTTTGTGATCAAAGTGGTACTTTCTCTTTGGTCTCCTTAATTAAACCTTTTCCTCCACATCTCTTTTAATAACGCTTTCTCTCTTCGTCTTAATCTGTTGGGCCAAGAGGTGAGGCTTCAGCAAGGCAGGTAAGGAGTTGAGAAGAAACAGAGATGCCGTTTGAAATGGGCTGTTCTGATAGTTGGGCAGCCGAAGCTCCTTCATGCATTATTACAGGAAGCTGTCTATTTCCCTGGAGTGGAAATGCCACATCAAGAACCGGCTGCCCCCTGCGCAGCGGGGTGGGGTTGGTAACAGGGTGGGTGCATTGGCCAGGTCTGTGGCTTCCTGCTTTACCGACTGTGTGTGTTCATTTGCCCTACTTTCTGCGCTGGGAGTTGCTGCCGGCGGGTTAATCAGGTGGATGGATGGCCCAGACTGGGGGTGGGGTGCTGTGAGTCGGTCGGGGGTCGGGGTGGCGGAGGCGGGGGGCAGTGGCAAAGGGGGAAAGGTTCTGAACAATGTGCAGGGTTTGCGGTGATTTCCCTGGGCCGGAATCTCCACCTTGCTCCTCTACTGGAAAGCAGTCTGATGTGATTTTTAAGTTGGGCCCGGACTTGTCCCTTGTGGGCTTTTTCCTCGGGAAGGTTTTCTGAGATACCAAGCACAGAGCCTGCAGGCACGAGAGCAACCGCTGAGGGCCACCGGGCGGATGACTGCGGATCACACTTGGGGTGTGCATTCTTGTGATCTGTATTTTGAAAACATATCTTTGCACAATGCACTGAAATTGCTCTTTGTGGCCTGGGCTATCAGCTTAGGGCTCTGCTGCTGTTTTTCTGCCTGCTGGGAGGTGTGGAAACAGAGAGGGCAACAGCTAGCTTGGGGACCAGGAACTGCTGGCTAGAAGACTTAGATGCAGATGCAGATGCAGATGTGGAGACAGTTGCAGATGTGGGGCCAGGGTCTTTGACCAGTCTTGTGGGTGAGGTGTGCCTGCTGGAGTGGGTCCAAAGGCCACATAGGTAATCTCCACAAATCAGAGGGCAGATCATCTCCACCTTCCCACATTTGGAGAGGTGGCCTCATCTAGATGAGATGTCTCATTTATTCCTAAGCCCTTGGTAAAGCCTGCCTGCTGAGCCCCTCCTGGGGAATGCCTGACCCCTGAAATGCAGCCAAGGTCAGTGGCTTCTGGGAGAATTTGCTGCAGACTTACCAGTCCCTTGCTGTTTCGGTGGCTCTTTAATGTACACAGTCAATGCTCTTTTTGTAAACCCTGGGCTCAATGCATTAAAAGCAGATCGTGTCTGGAGAGGCCTTTATCCTTCTCACTTTGGGGGCTTATTGTTCTCAGCCAGTGATCCCAGACTGGACCCAGTCTAAATTTTCCCCAAATAGCAACAATGCATAATTTAAACCAGAGCAACCAATGACAGCACTGATCATTGAAATTATGCAAGATTTGCATGGTTTAAAAGTGAGTGAAGCAGAATCTTCTTTGATTAGAAAATAGGTAATTTGAATCCAGTTTTAGCCCTGATTTTTAGAGCTCACCGAGATAAACTAAATCTTGAGGGATGGGCTGGAATTGTTTTACAGATTTAGAGCTGGAAAGAGAATTGTAGAACACTCAGCCACTCCTTTCATTGAACACTTGGGAAACTGAAGCCCAGAGGCATGAAGTAAGTTGTTCAAGGTCACACAGTAACAATGGGAGGGGACAGCCAGGAGCGTGGTTTGAGCAAATAATCTAGATTTCCTGACTCCTCATTCAGTGCTCTTTTCTCTAAGTCACACTTTCTGTGGCTGAATCAGAAATCAATAACACATTTTCTGCCTGAGTACAAAAGAATAGCAGAAAGGAATAATTTCACCAGGGTCAGGGAATTTTATTTATTGAGAATGGTGAAACTACTTCATGCAAGTAAGTTTGTGATACGTGAAACCATGGAGCTTTAGGCCACCTTTGGAATTCATCTTGTCCAGCCCTGGTTCAGTGCCTACTCTGCGGGCAAATGACTGTCTGAAATCACCTAGGACACATGGTTGTCCTGCACAGGTAACCTCTCTGAATAACCTGTGTCCATCAGAGCATGTCCTAAGGGGTCAGTATAGACATACACATTATTCAGATATCTCCGCATGTGACGTTTATAAAGTTCTGTATATGTTTTGTATTATCTATGTGGATACATATATTATGTGTAGTATTATGGATATAAACTGTATCCATGTGGGGGTATGAAAATGTGCATATACATACATAGGCTATAGCAAACAATTTACTCATTCAAACCTGGGGCTTGAGTCATTCTTGCTTCAGGACATCTCAATGTTAAAAGAGATGAAACTTGCCACCAGTGTGCTTTATTACATATGAGGTGAGCTCAGCCCAGAAAGCTTTTTGGAGATTAGCATATTTCTGGACCTAAGCACCTTGGCTGTCCTTAACTTGGCCCACAGGGTAAGGCATTCAAGGCCAGGAGTTGGCTGCTGCTGACCTCATACTCTCAGCTTCTGCCAGGACTCACATACACTTTTGTATTTGAACAAAATTAGATGACCTATGCTTGTCTTTCCCCTTACCCCTCACTCCCTAGCCATTCCTTTCTCCATTGAAACCCAGATTTAAGAATTGACCTCATCTGAAAGCCTTGCTTATATCCCTTTGCTACATGTTTCATGCTCATGTTTTACTTGGTGTGTGATTTCCTTTCTGTTTCTTTACTAAACCGTGGATTTCTTGAGGACAGAGGCTAGGTCTTGTTCATCTTTGGAGCCATAGTCTCCATTAGTTGAATGAGTACATGAATGCATGCATGAATGAATGGAGTGGAATGAACCCTGTCTCCCCAGTTCTATCTCCACCTCTTACTCATTCTGTGACTTTGGGTAGGTCATTTAACCATAGTTAATAAGAATGATCACAACTGTTTGCCTTTCTCACACACTGTGTTTAAGGCAATGCTTTAAAAACCATACAGCACTATACAAATATGCTATCCCATGGTTAAGTAGAATTTAGTGGGAAAATTGAGCCCATCAACATTCGATTGCAATGATTTTATCTAATAGAAAATGATCCTGGCTGGGCACAGTGGCTCACACCTGTAATCCTAGCACTTTGGGAGGCCAAAGTGGGAGGATTGCTTGAAACCAGGAGTTTCAGATCATCGTGGGCAATGTAGGGAGACTCCATCTCTGGGAGAAAAAAAAAAAAAAAAAAGCCAGTATGGTGGGGTGTGCCTGTGGTCCCAGCTAATTGGGAGACTGAGGTGGGAAGATAGTTTGAGCTTGAGAAGTCGAGACTGTGATTGTGTCACAGCACTCCAGCCTCAGTGACAGGGTGACATCTTGTTAAAAAAAAAAAAAAAGAAGACTAAGAAAAGAAGGAAAATAATCCTGAGAAAAAGATAGCAGAAGGTTCCGACTGTTTTTAATAGCACTTCAACAGACCTTAGCTGCCTTTTTCCTTTTGTGTGCCAATATGACCTTATATGTTTCTCTGATGGCCTGAATTGAGCTTTGCCCCCCAAGTATTAGCATTCATTAAATATGAGGTAAGCACAGTCCCGAAGCTTTTTGGAGATTAATGTATTTCGAAACCAGTATCAATTATCAGCATTGTT